GAGGTTATATTTCCTTCATGCTTCTTAAGGTTTTACAGATATTTAATAGTATGATAGGGAATAATTTTTTAAGTACTCTGGTGTTCAAAAGGCAGCATATAGCAAACTTCACTATCAGAGCTATACAAACATTTTAAATTGTTGGCTAATATTTCATCATCAAAAGTATAGGAGTAATTTCTTGGTTTATAAAAACAGCTTAAAACCTTCAGTTTAAGAACTGAGAGTTCTTTAAAAAAAGTTTTATATCCTATAGAAATTAATAATAATAGATCATATTCAAACTTTTAAAGATTTGTCAGATATTTAATTTTGCAGTTAGAGTATAATCATTTAAATGCTTTGGATTTTAATATGCAGTAAATATCAAAACTTCATTAGACTAAGAGATAGGACTATATTTGCTATAGTTCTGTTTCTGTTTAGTAATCTAAATATTCTTCTAAATAGAAGGATTCTAATCAAAGATATAACAAAACATTAACATAAAAGTAAATAGTTATATATAAGCACAGACAAGCTTATAGACATGCCCTGTGTAAGAACAACCATTCCTTTCCCTATCATTAGTTAGGAATAGGTTTCTCCTAGAATTCTGGAGAACAGACAAGTTCCCCAAACCACAGTATTAACCCTTTTACAGGTACCAAGGGCTAGCAATAATCAGAACTGTAGTAGAGAGACAATATACAAAGGATAATGATTCTACAAGGTCACCCCAGTGGAGTTGAGTAGGTGGGGAATAGGGTAGGGGAAATGTTGGTGATAAGAAAACTGGTCTTGGCACTCTTGTATTCTTACTGGGGGTCACAGAAGAGACACCATATGCCAAAGTTGTTGGGATAATCTAGGAGCCACATCTATAACACATCTATATTGTTTCCAAGGTATAATGTCCTCCAAGTGCCAAGTAGCCAATTTAATAATGAATTGTTGTTCTTCATTTTGTTTTTTGTTTGTTCAGAGGTATATATGTATTCTGTCAATTTCACCCGTTTATTAAACTTAAAATTCTATAGGATATCAATTGATTTTTTTCCACTTTAAAAATATTTTAAATGCTGTTCTTCTCAATTTATTCAGTTGGTGGAACTTCATGTTTTTTATGTCCCCGAAGGATCATGGAACTATGAATTAAATACCATTTCTATAGAAGTTGTTAACAAATTCATTTCAGCTGGATTTATAAGGCAAGTATTTTGTGATCCTGTAACAACAACATGCCTGAAAAAGAATCCTTTTTTTTCTGCAGAGAAAAATGCTTTCTAGAAATTTAAAAATTATAAGTGAAAAATATCTTGTCCATGTGATGGATCCATTTCCTAACTTAATGAATACTATCAATAAATAGTACTGTGTAACAAATCAAACATTGCTGTAGGAACAGATCACTTGGCCATAATACTGTTACCCAGAAAATTGTATAACCTGTATATTATGTTTATACACAAAGAGAAGTAAGAGAGAAGTTATCTGAAATAAAAACCTGTTGAAGTAGCTCTGAATAATAGTTAAAGCAATGTATCTGCAA